TATCAAATACCAGGTGTGTAACAGAGATGGGAAAAGTATGATCTTTCAATAAAGTTTGTTAATCTGTGAGAGGAGTGAGTTTTCACATCTCTAGACTGCAGGTTATCTTAGAATTTAGTCTATAAAACAGCATTACTGATGAAAATCAGTTAGTCTTTCTCCAACATACTAACAGCAACAGAAACATGCGCACATTTCTCCTCTTCTTGAACCTTTTGTTCCCTTGCTCCCAATCCTTACTTTACTTGTTTACATGGGTTAATAATAATAAAAGAATCAGCACTGTGCCATGGCATGGCACAGTTGAGACAGAACGCACTGCACATAGTTTGTATCTTCTAACTAAAAGCAGTGTTGAGACAAACATACACACCATGTTACAGCTTGTAAATGGAGAACTCCAGAAACCTGTCAAGAAAGAAGACCCTTCTGCGAAGCGGTGCTCTGTAGTGTCACCTAGACCTTGGAACCCAAAGAAAAATAGCGGTGCTGAACATGTCTGCCTATCTTCAATCATAAATATAGCACAGCAAAGTTGGACCATGTGGTATAAATTGCTTGGAGAGGCCTTCTTGCAGTGGGTTTATAATACTTAAACATTAAACAAATCCCTAAAAACTCTGCCAACTCTAATAGCAGTGTTCTGCCATTAACCCTGCGCTCAAATTAGAAGTATCCCATTATTTGTGGCTTTTAAGTTCTTCATGATGTCAGTGAAGCATCTTTTCACAAACTTCCCAATGCTGACAATTGTAATGTGTGCACTAGGTGGTCGCATGGTAAAAATATTATTTAATTTATCAGATAACTCGAGTGACCTGATTAGCTCACAGTTAGTTACTTTCAGTAATGTCAGAATGTTTTTTTTCCCCCAAAATATAAGATTTAAAGTGTCGGTGCCTGAATCACGAGAGGGTTGACACATACGACTAAAAGAGAAACTGTGTGCTTTTGTGTACTCTTTTGCTGTCTGATGCAGGTAGCCCAGAAGGCTGAAATATTGATGGATGATGATAAATTTATGCTGGTGGTGAACTCGCGAAACACCACCAAACAGACATTGCACCCTGTGTTCTCAGTGTCCACCTGGCAAACTAGAAATGCTGTGCGTTATCTGCTGTTGGTATGTAGTATTATAAAACAATACTAGCAAAAACTGTAGTGTTTCCAAATTATATGTATTCTGTAAATATTAAACTAAAGTTTTGTGTCAAACTTTGGTTAACATAATAAAACTGTGTTTACTTCAGTGTACACAATTATAGGCGAAGGCAAGCAGTAATTTATTCATGTGTTCCTTTTTTTCTGTATGTTTAATTAATTTTTTAGTTAGAAAGAGTGAATTCCAAACAAAATGTGGTCTATTCTGTCATGCATAGTGCATTTGTGCCATACTCTTATGGGTCTGTTTACACAGATACAGTGGATATTAGTCTTTCAACCTTTTTTGTGTTCATAGACAGGTATAATTTTTAAACAAAACTTTTACTTGTTTTATAGACAACTGTGGACAGATCAGGCGCATTTGTCTAGTACATTGTCTCCAAAATTGCTTGGGTAAATTAGTGTGGCTTTGAACTGGGATCCCAGTTAATAGGAGGCTCACCGCACCAAGTTTCACTTCTGGCTCAAACAGCTGACTTTCATCACAATATGTTTACATGAGTATTCCTTGAATAACCACGATTTCAATAAATTAGACCTGCCTAAAACAGCAAACCTATATCCATGTCATCAGGGCAAACAGCATCACTGCATCATCTCATCTGAGACAGAACCTTTTCTGAAGTTTCATTTGACGCATTTTAATTCTCAAGCAATGTATTTTCCGATTGCTGGAACTGAAGGAAGAATGATTTTGAAAATGAACATTTTGAAAGAAAATCTTAATTTCAATGGTTTTTATTCATTCTTTGAGAGTTGTTAGGTAGTTTTGCTTGCAGGTAGAAATAAGGAAACTTGCTAAAATGTAGTTAAATTACCTATCTTGGTCTTTGGGTTTCTGTACTGGGCCAGATTCTTTCATTTAAGGGATTGCATTCACAGGTTTGAGGAGGGGAGGTGGAGGTCAGAGAGGTGGGTGGGCGATAGGGCAGAAGAATGAGTAATGGGGGGGGGCTTTCGTTGGTTAGTTTATGCATGTATCGGTGTGAAGTGGAGGGAGGTCATGTAGAGAGAGAAGCTGACGAGGAAAGCAGATTGAATGCTGAGAGATCTGAGGGTTAGTGGTGTACTTTGTTGAGAGAAGGTATAAGGAGGTAGAGGAGCACTATCTAAGGAGAGCTTGTGAACTTTGATGGTGAGGGCTGCTGCTTTGGAATGGCTATCAATAGTTCTATAGCCGTTTCCACTTCACAGATCCTCATCAGCCCCACTTTAAAACATACCACGCCTCTTGACAAGTCAGAGAAGGCCTCCCCACTCTTGCTGTATTCACACACATACGCTGATGAACTCTGAGATGGTCAAAGTGCTCCAAGCCCTCTGCTTTAGTGAATGGAAGAGTTTGAACAATGCTAAACTTGTGGTTTAGCACTTGTGGTTTCTATCTGAAGCACATAACTTACTTGGCTCTGTAAAAACCTCTGCATAGTCAAGGACATGTCCGTCTTTCTTTTAATCACTGTCATACTGGTATGAACCTGAAGTAGGCAACAAAGGCAAAGGAGGACATGAAACAATTTGTTGTGACTGCAAGGAATAGCATAACACTTAATCAAGGAATTTGTTCTGAGATGAGCGATGTGGTTGTTAAAGTTGACATTATCCCTAAAAATTCCAAATACACACACACAGATGTCTCGGTTGTCTGCTTTCAGGAAGCATGGGCAGAAGAAAAATATAATTAATGGTGATACATATTGGATCCTCAATGGATCTGCTTGTCAGGTGTTATTTTGTAAGGATATTTTGGAATAACGAAGACAGTCATAGCACTTGTTTACTCTGTGTTCTTATTAGAACCTAGAACCTTTGAGCACCAGCCTACATTAGCATATCCGTGAGGCCCATCCCCTCTACACAGGATTAGTTCAGCTCTCCTCCCAATGTCTGATGGCTCTTTATCCAGATCGACACAGCCTGTTAAAGGTCTTCCCTACACCCTTACTACTTGAGTCATTATCATTCACCACAAGCAGGAATCAGTTCCCGGAGGCTCTGCTGTTTAGCATGAGACTGACATCTCATTTGGGATGGTTTCAAAAAGGGAACTCCCCTTCAGACAATGATGGAGGAACCAGTAAGCGTCCAACTTTAGAAGATACATATGGCCTCCTAAAACTTTCTTTACTTTATTGAAATAAGACTAGAAGTTTGTATATTATTTATTAGTTTTATTAAAAACTATCGTCATAATTGTTAATGCAATTTATTGGTGAATAAAACTATTGTTGGCGATCAAATTTCAGATGACATTACTGCATATGCAGAAAAGATCACGGCAGTGTTCAGAATTATGATCAGAATTTGCAGTGCTGTACCCTATATACCAATGCTTTAGCCTGAATGTTAAATCAAGCTTCTATTAATGCAATTCATAAAATGGTTATAGTTGATGTCACATTCGCAAAAATTCTGATGTTTTATATCACTCAAAGGCAAGTTTCATCTTTCAGAATATCTTTACTGTTCTAAAGGCTAGGTTTCTGAAAAGAATAAAGTTATAGAGTTAAATATAATTTGTGATGGGATCATAATACATAAAGAATATAATTGATTAATCTATTAATCCTTTTGGGATTGTGCCTAGTGAAGGCAAAAGCCAGAAGAACTAAAGTCTGCTCATAGACACTGGGACAGGATTATGCTAGAAATGATTCAATGTAAAAAAAATCTTTAATGCATTAGTTTGTAAAAGCAAAGCTTTTTATTTAAATGAACGAAAAAATGCTTTTAACTTTGAATGTGGACTTAACTTCTCTCACACAGAAGAATAATTTGATGTAAGTAATTTGATCTCCCATTTTAACGGCGTGTTCTCATACTTTTTAGATACGTGGTTTTTCTCTCCCTTTCTGTTGAAAAAATTTTTTTTGTCTTTAAATCTTGTCAACTTAGAAAAACAAAACAGTGAAAAAGTGTGCGTAAAATCTAAAATAGCCCACAGTCTTCATTTGGACTTTTTCAAATGTTCCCCCAGATATTCTGCTGTTTTCCTTCTTCACACTCCCTTTAACCTATTGCCTTGCCCTAACCTTTCCTTTCCAACACTCACAACTCAGAGTTTTCTTTTCTCTCATGCTGTCTTTGCATGGATTTCACTTTCTCCCTCCTACACGACACTCACCGTTTCTCAATCCTCTCTCTCTCTCCCTCTCCCACCGTCTATTGCACTCTTACTATGCTGTCTGCCTCAGCTGTTCTCAGTTGCACTGAGTGCCTTGTGCGGTGGGGATAGAGCAGAGCAGGACTGACTGGGGCTGAACCAGCTCAGAGGAGTGTTAAGTGGAACCAGAGGCAGATAGAAACACAGCGAGTGAGGATTGTGCTTACCAAGCACACCAGATGAACAGCTGAAACAATCTGGACTGTTTTCCTTTCGTTAGCTAAAGGTGCGACTGGAAGATAGTCGTTAGTTGCTTTTTTAGAGCTACATGCCTGTTAGAAACTGGGACAGTACACTATGGCGGTTATACCTGGTTATTTTTATCATTTTGAATGGTTACAAACGGAAGTTATACTGAAGTTTAACGCTGACTGAGTACTTAGGGGGCTCACTTGCAGAAGCATTGATTTATAATCCTCAACTCTGCTTTCAGATTCTGTCTTCTCTTGAGTTGGACTCTAATTTTGGCTTTTGACCTCTGAAACAGGGAAGGGATTTTGATCTGGCACGGGCAAGAACTACAGGCCAGCCTGGACTAACCCACTAGCATCTTTTTCTTTCTTTTTAACAATTACCGGACAACATCACTTTTTCCTGCTCAACCAGATCTGAGATTGCCTGCACAGGAGTTGTTTATCCAAAGGACCATTCTGGACTCTTCTCCCTGAACACCATGGGCTCTCTCTGGGGCAGCTTTATGCTGCTGTATGGGATGACTTTCCTCTGGATGGAGGGCAGCAAAGCTCAACAGACCAAAACCAATGTCCCCCGGCTTAAACTCTCCTATAAAGGTGTGTTTGTTTATTTGCATTGTCCTTCTTTTAAAGTGAGTCAATAAGCTCTTGAAAATGGTAAAGCCAATTTCTATCTTTTACTTTTAACTCCCAGGCTTAAATCCCTAAATCCCACATGGTTTGTTTGTATATGTGCCTATGAAGGCGAGGGATGTTTGGTTGTGGTAACATGTGCAAATAAATGCACAAGTATGTAAATGTATTTGAAAGCAATAAATTGGATCTTTACAAGGTAGTTATACATTACGAGGTTTCAGGCTACTGCCCTTCATATTTGACTAATTAATGCATCCTTGTTCCGTATGATTTTATACATTTCTGAAAATGTAATTTCTTTATAAAATCCTTTTTGAAGTCCTTTAAAAATAGACCATTACATGTTTATAGTAATTTATATTCACCTATATTCAATTAAGCTCAGAAAAGGAAACTGTTGTGTTGTCATGGAAAGCTTGTCCGAAAGTATTTCTTTAATGGTTCGCCGTTCAGCTGGGACCAGTAATGAATAAGTAGGAATCATTAATTACACAATGCTGTTATCCCAAGAGGACAGCAGTTTAATGGAGTTAAGTAACTGTAGGTGCCAGACTTTACAGACTGATGTGTGTCTTGACAACTAACTCATTTAACACAAAGGTCAAATACATTCCCTCTATATTCTCTCTCTCTGCCTCTGTTTTTATCGACTACTACTGTCAGTTTTGCTATAAAAAATAGTGCCCGTTTTGGACTTGAATGCTGCCGAGCATAATTTAATCCCCCTCCCTCTTTTTTAAAAATTTTCCTGAATGTCATTTTTCTGCTCCATTCCCTCCTGCATGGTAATTAAACTCAAGATGAATGGTGCTGGCCTGTTTCAGCAGATGGCTACCAAAGTGAAATGTTTCTCGCTTAGCACTGGGGGATCCATAATTATACACACAAGTATGCACATACGCACACGCGTGCACACATGAATACATCGCCATCTGTAGATAGCAAATGATACCTGTGAGGGTATCAGTCATTTGAAACCACATGCTGTCAGTTTGGTGAAACACGCCCATGTGCTGATATCTCTATTGGAAGCCTTCAGGTGGCAGTCTGGCCGGCTTGGTTATTTGGCTTTAATCTCTACTTTCAATTCTTCCATTAGTTCTCATTTGGATTCTGGCTGGTAGGAACAATAATTGGCACCATGCCTGATAGCGGTACTTTGGAAATATTGTTCATATAAGACATGCAGGATTTCCCCACAGTATCCAGTGTGGATCCCATTAAAGTGACTTGGGATTATTGCATCATGAATCATTTATATTATGTATAAATAATTCATTACCTGTGTGCGGCTTGAAGTTGATTTTCTCATAGAGGAAATCAGATGATTCACTTTAAACTAAAAAACATTGAATGATTAGACAGTCTGAGATGTCTGTCTTACCAGTGGAGATACATGTGATCAGTGATACGTGGGATGTTGAGTTTAAGGAACCCTGACCCCTACAGGTCATGATTATGAAGAATATTTCTTCTGTTCAAATGAATATGTCCAAACACCTGCAAATGTTTTGGTCTCACAGACTCACTCATATGAACACGGAAGCAGAGTTTTTATCTGAAAAGTGTTAACTTGTGCAGAAACTCTTTCCTCCCTGCTAGTGACCAAATACTTCTTTAAACACACATACGAACTTTTCAGTTCAACGATCCCCGTCATAAACACATGCCACCCCTCCCTGCTGAAGCTTGAGACTCAAAAGAATCTCTGAAAGTGAGGGTTGATGGGCAGGAGGCCAGTGGAGCAGGGGGAAAGATAACAAGGGTACCCCATGGCTACCTAAACATAAAGTAAAATCCAACTGTATCAACAACTGCGACTGGGTGATAATGAGGATGTAGGAGTAGGTGGCCACAGACTTACAGTGCACAGCAGTCCCATAAAGTATTGTAATATATTAGGGATGTTATATTCGGTCACACAATCGGTTGCAAGACAGACTCACACCCCTTGAGTAAATGGGCCCTTTGGGTAATGAACAGATTCATATGGTTTTCAAGTTTATGGGTCACAAGAAACAGACCACATGTTTTTAGCAGTGCAGGGCCATAAGGAGAAGGTACTTTAGTTTATAGGATGTGGGTGTTCTGCCAAAACTACTCTTTTTCTCAAACTTGTCCACCCTTTTCTTTAGCAGAGCCAACAGGCTGTATAGAAGGCACATAGTCAATCCACAGACACGCATTTGGGCAAATACAATGTAAGCAGCTCAACCAAAGCCTTAACTTTAAATACCAGAAGCCCAAAAGAGCACATAATTCAAAAAGTGAAGCTAAAAAATACTTAGTATCACCAGCCACATAATTTCCGTTTAGCAGGAAAATGTTTTTTAATCAGTGTGAAGTCACTTTTAATCAGAGCTGGATTATGAAGATGTTTTCTTAAAGACCTGCTTTAATCCAAAAGCAAGTTGAGAATCGCAGAATGGATTGAGGTTATTTTACAAAGCCCTGAAAACAATATTCCATGCTCTCAGTGAGCTACATGACTCCCAGGATCTGAATTCCCTGTTCCTGGTAACTTGAGGTGTGTTTAGGATTAGGATTTTCTTTTTGTCATTTTTTAAAATGGTTCTCTGTTGGTTCCTAAATTAACTTTATCCAGTTACATCAGACTTAACTCAAACTTGCGGTCTTTTTATATGTTTTTACAGTCTTTGGTGTCCAAGTCTTTTCTCATGGTGAGTGCATGGAATTTTGAATATAGTTAGTTTCAGTCTGACAAGGAACATTTTCAAAACCATTTTACAATAAAAGTTTTAAATTAATTTAAAATGATCAAACGGAGAGATACTGCAAATACATCCTAATGTTCTCGTTTTAACAACAGACTAGACCAATTTGCAGGGGTTAACAGAGGTGTGTGTCAGAATGCCTGTTTGACACTTAACAAATTACTGGACTGAGTCTTTGTAGTGTTTCCCCCGAGGCATGGGTGAATCAGAGAACTCAGTGGATAAAATGTGGCACAATGATCTGCTCTGTCTCTTCAGAGTGTTTGTGTAAAAGTGTGTGTATAATTTATTAGAGTGGCATCTGTGTCAAGGCCTAACACCAGTGTTCCCGTATGCAGTTCAGCTGTTATTAAGGGCTATATGTGATTTTCTTTGCAAGCTCTAAGAATGCACTTCATGTGCCCTTTCCTTGAGAAATACAAAGAGAAAGATTGGGAGAATGTAGGGTAAAAGAGTTTATTTTTATCAGTCTCACATGGGACTGTCGTTTTTCTGCATCTATTCCATCCGCCCTCATATTTCTCCTTCCCTGTGTCTCTTTGTGTTATCCAGCTTTAACTTTTCTCTTTCCCTGGCTCTAAGTAGATGGGTTTATTTTATTTTAATTTTTTAATTATGGTTTCAATTTTTTTTCCTAATTTAAAGGAAATGGAGAAAAGGAGTTATTAACTTACAGAATTTGAGACTATGGACAGCTGGTGCAACAGAACATTTGAAGGCTCATAGACAGGCCTACCTCAACAATTATAGGTAACAACTCAGCATTCGCAAAATATGTCTGGGCTGCAGCCGCCACCTGTTACAAGTCACCCATTTCCCCATCCACCTGTCTTTCCCTCAGTCCCTTTCTTCCTGTCTGCTGTCATAAAACATTTTGTTGGGAAAGAAATTGAGCCACAGGGGCTTTGTACAAATTGAGCCACAATATTCTTTTTTTTTTCTGTGAAAGAGAGACACAGAGCATTAAATAAATTAGAAACATCTTTGAAAAAAACTCACCTTTTTAGTAAAAAGTTGCACATCAAACAGGAGGACAGTGAGAACCTCTTAAGGTGTGCATACACACCTGTAACGATTCTCCAGAGAGTGCACCAGTTCAGACATGTATAGGCTACTATTTTTGTTGCAGCTTGGAAACATCCTGTTTCTCTCCAATAACACACAACACAACCTAGTCTATAAACACAAGGGGTACACACACAGATTTGCACGCAACACCCACACAGTATTTGTCTCTGGACAATTAGCTTTTAATAACTTAGCTGTGGTCTCTGTTGAATGGGCTGTTGCCATGGACACCACTCCCATAGACTTTTTTTTTTCAAACCAGGGATATGTGTGTGTGTGTTTGTATGCTTGTCTGTGTGTGTGCGAGTGTGTGTGTGGGGTGTAGATCTGGCCATGCAACATTGGGTATGGTTTCTAGATAAACCTTCATAGATTATAAAACAACTGTATCTATCTATTATCATTTTCCCCTTCATGAAAATATAGGTAATGGCCCCTCTCTGCCTTCATATACAAACAGTATCATGATTAAAACTAAAATGTTTGTTAAACTTTCAATTATTTGTGACATCCAGAGCACTTTATACAGTCATAAAGTCCAACATATTGTGTTTTTTTGCTTACAATCTAATCATTTAACTTTGACTATATGAGCAACCACTGTGTTAATCCTACTAAAATTGTAAATGAAATAATTTATTTTCAAAGTGGAGTTACCCAAGACTAAATTTTAAAGTATGAGCATGATAATATTGTGAGTTATGGTCTGGTTCACTTGATCCTTGGGCTGTTTTGTAAGTAAGAGATTGTAATAAGGTCCTATTGATAATATAGTGGCTTTATCTCGTTGAAAGCATTTGCTATTCAATGGGTCATTAGAGCTTCATTGTCAACCCTACATGCATTTTTTATGCCTGCATACAAAAGAGAAAGCAAACCATTTGATCACAAACTTAGAAGAACAGAGCTGAAATCGAGTTTTCCCATGAGGACCAAAAGTAAAAGAATTAAACTGTGTGAAGCATTGCTTCTTACTGGCTTCATTTCTTTCTCTTCACCACAAACCCAGACAAGATGGAAAAGGTTCAAGGTATTAAACACATTTTACATGCTGTCAGCGCAGAGCTTAGAGCTAATCCACTCTTGACTGACCAACATGGCAACAGAGCCAAATTTGATAAACTTTCAACAGAAACTTGTTATAGCTCTGGGCTTATTTCTAAAGATGGGTATGTCATGTGAAAACTAATAATGACTTTATATGATCAAATTACTAATAATCCAAGTTAACTACCACAAAATAGAGACATGATTGTGTGTTGTAACAAATGAAGCACATCTATCTGCAAGTACTCATCCAATTATTACTTGGACTGGGTTAGCTATTCATGGATAAAACCATCACTGTATGTCTTATCCAGCTTTTTGGTTTGGAAATAGTCCCACTATGTATCTGAGGGATCTTTTATTTACGATTTCAAGAATATTTTTCAAATCCTCCAGGGTTTGCAACTTCTGATTTAAATGTTAAGTTCTCATAAGACTTGGAAGTTGGGAGCCAAGCAGCCGCAGGGCCGGTCATACAAGAGACTGTGTAAATCCCTCCTCATCAGCATGGAAAAAAACAAATCACGGCAATCTTATCCTAAACAAGGACACAAACCTATTGTTAATTCTTTGTATTATTTACAGTAATGCAAATGTGTATGAATGGCTATAAAACTAAAGTTTATTTTTACAAGACAACCAAATTAACAAAAAGAAGTTTGTTACTCAGTTCTACAAATGCTCTTTTCTTTGTGTGGTTCTTTTGTGGCTTAAGCCCATTCTTTGAAAGTATATTCAGGACATTATTTGGAGGTTGAAATACGAACCCCCATGGTTTCCACACCCTCAACAAACACATACACAGGGATTTTTTTTTTTTTAAAGGGGAACATTTCTTCATCTCAGCTGCAAGTCAGATGCTGCTTCCTTTCAAATAATCAATTTAGAATACACTGGAATTTAATCCTGTTAAGCCTTTAAAACAGTCCAGAACTGCATGTGTATGTTTTGATAGAAAATACTGATTAGATTTACACGGACACCATAACATGTCACATGTAAAGTATACAACACGTTTTTTCTTTATGAGAATTCCGCCCCGGCTGCATAAACCTTTCTGTGATGATCTGGAGGATATGGTCGTAGAACATTGTCAAAATATTGTCACACTTTATACAGCGAATAAAAATAATCCAGTGGTATTTATTGTTTGTGATAGGGCTCTTTCCCTCCAGCATTCCCAGTTTTTCAGAGGTTGAAATTAGTTGGTTTGCCATTTTATATACTAAAATGGCATTTCATTTTTTTTTGCAGTTAAACTATCGAAATATTACCATCTTGTAGCTTTGGGTGGTCATTTTCCTTTTATCAGATAACAGGTTTGATTTGCTTTGTAACCAGGATATATAAATGTACAAATGTACGATCAAAGCATTTAAAAAGTTAACTCTCTCTTCCGAGAGAGACACATGTCAAGGCCAGACCACTGCATTCAGTTTAGAAAATGAGCTGCTGCTTTGTGTCCATTTGTTGATGTAAAATAGTGTAAAGTAGCAGTCTGACCTTTGAAATCTTAGAAGACCAATTTCATATTTAATTTTACTCGCAGCTTTCCATTGTGAGAGCACCAAGTTTTGCTTGGCTGCTTCTATGAAGGTCACTTCCCACTGTTGACAATCTGACAGTTGGCTCTCAATTCTGGCTTTCCTTGTCAACTGCACTTTGGCTTGGCTGTGACTCTTCACTATCTGTCAGCTTGGCTGAGCTTTTCAATTGCTTGTCATTGAAACTATTTGTAATAGACAAAAACAACATTTTGTTAAAAATATGTAAATCGGAAAAACAGTTTGGTGAAAAAGGACTAATGTCCAACTGTTTTCGGTTTTTCTTTCCTAGTACACTCGCAGGAAAAAGTGATGTATTTGTATGTGGCAAGTCACAACTGTGCAGGAGAATTTATGCAAGTTATGCAAAACCCTTTGAATTTCAATTTCAATAATTTCTAGTAAAAATTAATTAATGGATTTAATTTTATTTCATCCTTGTACATCCAATAGTTTCTCCTGTTGTGATTACTGTAGTGACCTAATTATTGTTTTTTCTCCCCACTTTTCTTTGCAGAGATGTTGGAGTCAAACAATCTTGTGACATTTGAAGGCCTCACAAATAGTTCAGCTTATCACACACTCTTATTGGATGAGGAGAAAGGAAGACTGGTGGTGGGAGCCAAGGACCACATCTTCTCTTTTAACCTCCTCAACATCAGCGAATATGCTCAGGTACCACCTGTGCTATGCACTGCGCGTCTTTAATGATGTTGTGCAGGACTTGCATGACCTCAGGTCTGTGTGTATTCTGACGTACTTATACGACTGTACTTCACCTTCCAGAGTGCCTGGCTCAGGTATCTTGGGATTATTGTTTTTGCTTCTGTCGAAAAGTGCTTCATGTATATTTCAGAATGGGGCTGTCACACATGGCCATGCACTGTTCAGAAGCATGTTAGCCGCTCTCTGCACACCTTGATGAATAATGTAGGAAACTTAAACAAAGTGGATAACAAATCTTGCTGTGACCCCTCCAACCCTCATAAACACACAAACAAAATGTCTACTGACTGATTTGGTAATACTGATGACAGGGGCAGGTAATTGTTTTCTTTGTGTGCTATAATAGTGCTCTATCTCCATGCAGATACCTTGGCCTGCTTCTCCTACCAGAAAAGACGAATGCAAGTGGGCAGGAAAAGATCTCTCGGTAAGCACTCGATCGATTTGCCTGGTTGGTAGGGCTCCACTGTTTCCCCCTTTAATCCCACATAAATCGGAAATGTATTTTGTGTGCAGTTTACAACTTCTCAAGAAATATCAACTATATAATTCCATTTGAACCATTTCATTTAACCTCCCTCTATACAAACAGGAATAACAAGCATGAGTGTTAAAATGTTACCAGACAATAAAATTTGTAAGCATATGCTGTGATATTCAAAATGTTATTGTGGTTGTACATCTTCCTTTTTCTGAAAGGAGGTTTTTCTTAACTTTAGGGGGAAAAACTAACAAACTTCACAAAGTTAAATCACTCACAATATTCAGTACTACAATAAGTAACTACAATAATGAGAGGTAATTTGAATTTTCAAATTTGAAATATCTGGAAATATCAAATATTTAAACCAGAGTGCAAAAAATATTAATTTTTCAATCATATTTTTATGATTGTCATTACATTTTGTGATGACTATTAGATGATTATAACTGCATATGAAAAATAAACACATTTTATGTTATTTGTTATTTTTAGAATATTCAATTAACCTTAACAGAGCTCAATTTAAAATGGGCCTCGAAAAAATCATGATTTGTAGATAAGAGCCAGAACTTACCCACTCAGTCCTTTCATTACATCACATCTCACAGCATCCAGCCATGTACACTTTCAAAGCAGCAAGAGTGGTGTAGTGAAGCACTATGAAAACATGCCAAGATGTTGTCTCTGCGCCCTACAAGCAGTGCTATGCATTTGATCTACCAAATGGCCCAAGGCAAAGGCTGGAATCCGCAGTCATAGCTGTGCTGTTTGTGGCTCAGTTCACTCACCAGAACAGGGCAAGTGCCCCTGGTCTTGAGCTCTTCAGTATGGCACATCTGAAGTGCTGTGAAGTCTTTTGTGTGTTTTGTGTAAACATTCTGAAATGGAAGAATAAGAAACCCTAAGGGGTGGACTTTCTGTTTTACAGTTGGATGAGACAGAATTAAATGGGGGTGGAGAGAAAAGGAGAGAGTTCACTAATGCCCCTTGATGTGCGCAAAGAAAACAGTTGTGGAGATAAAGCAAAAAGGACCTATAAGGATGTGAAAGGCATAGTAGTACATCAACGAACGAATGAAAAAAAACATAGAGCCACAAACTGCATAGCCTCACAGATATATGATTTAAATCAGTGCCAAGCACAGAGATGAAGGACTGCTAGTTAAAAGCATTATTAGACTATTTATAAATCTGTACTGACACTCACCTTATATCATCCAACAAGAATGATTCAGAATATTAAAAAAAATTGAAAAATTGAAAAAATATGGATTGAATTCTTTTACCAATTTTTTTTAATATTCTGAGGTTACTTTTAACAGTTTCTTTCATAGTACTTTTGGCAACATTTGAATTTGAACCGTAGTCGATGATTAAATTAAATGAGGCATGTATCTGGGCAAAACAGTGTGAGGATCAAAGCCAAAAACCAATACTGAACAGATATAATCATCAGTTCCTCGATGCATCTGTATTAAAACCACATGACTCAGTAGATAAAATCAGAATGGTGACATAGGACATTTTCTAAAAATTATCAACTGTCAATGCTAACCCTAATGGAAAAATACTATGCCGCTAGCATAAAGATTAATTGATAGAATAAGAGATATAACTTAGATTCCTTCAGTCCTTATGTGGAAGAAGTTATCAGTTTAGGTTAGGGACCAGCCTGCATAGTTCAAAAGGTAGCATTCTCTATGACAAAAGATTCAAAAGCAACAATAACTCTCAGTTTCGCAAAGGTGCCAAAGAATGGTAAATCAAGGTCTTGTAAAAAAAAATTCCCAAGATTTAACACATTGCCAAACCAAGTTCAATTGGATTGAACTTTTATGCAAGATGGCAGTCAAAGTGCATAAGAAAGGCTGTAAGATTTTAAAAAATTACCTGGAGGCCTTTATTGATGCCTAAAATATATTACTATCCATGTTTTTGCAGATATTCCAGCATGACTAACATTTTTGTTATTCCTCCTACTTTTTCTATCTGTACAGAGAGAGTGTGCTAATTTCGTAAAGGTGTTGCAGCCATTCAACCAGACCCATCTGTATGTATGTGGAACAGGAGCCTTCCATCCTGTGTGTTCCTACCTGGAGGTGGGCAAGAAACAAGAGGTACACACACATGCTTTGCCATTCAGAAATTCCTGGAGGAAAAAAAATTATTTCACCTCAGTATTGGTTTCTAAAACTGTTTATTTGATGTGGGTGAGTAGCAGTACCTCTCTTAAATTATTTGATGTGTGCAAAAAATGTCAATATATTTAGCAGCAAGAAGATATAGAATGAACACATGGTCTTCTTTAATAATTTGGATCTAGAAGTACATGTGCTTATGTGTGTGCGTGTGTGTTCATTTCATCATAAGATGCTTTTTTTTAGAAGGCTATATATACAGTTAGAAATGCATGTGTATTTTATTGTATTTTGTGGATCATGAATTTAAAATATAACTCGTTAGTGTTGAGGTCAGAGAGGCACTTAAACTGTTAATTTAGTTAATTTGATTTAACTTGTTTCTAATGTAATATCTAGTGTTGACAGTAATATGTGAAAGATCCTGAGCTCATTCAACATTTATGTTAGGTATTATGTATGTTAAGATATTATTTTAGCCGTGGGCAAAATCATTTATTATTCATTTGCATATTTACATAAGTATTTGCCAGAAACATATTTTTAAAATCTTGCTTCAGTCAAACATTGTGAAAGATTTGGCAAACCTAATTCTGAATACCATTCTGTTGGCCAGAGAAAAGATTATTTTCTATGATTATGTAATTCAATCATGCACTACATATTTTGACGTGATGTGACAGTAAAATTTGACCCTCTGGGAAAATCTTTCTCATAGTGAAGTTATTGTTTCAGTTGTGAAACTTTTTTTGCCAAAAGAATGTGCACCATCATATTGACGATGAGCTCAACCTTGTGTGTTATTCTGTTTTGCTCTGTGCAGGACAGTGTGTTCAAACTTGAGCCCCATGTAGAGAATGGCAGAGGGAAGAGTCCCTACGATCCAAAGTTGCTCACTGCATGCATGCTAATTGGTGAGTTTAAGGCCGGATAGACTGTGCTGCCTATCTGTGTACAATAAATCCATGAGGCCAGAAACACCCTGTGCCATGCTCTGTCATTGCAGCAGCTATATAAAGTGTAACATCAGTGTGAATGAGAGAACAGGGGCATTGCTCTCATTCATTACACGTGAACTTAAAACCCCTCATTGAAAAAATTGTAAACTATTTCGACCTGAATGTCCCTAATTTAAGAGTTGGGTGTGTGTGGTCAATGACACTTTATTGCATTCTCTTTGCTTTGAATTAACAATCTGGGCTTTTTTTTTTTTTTTGAGAGGGGGGGCAAAGAAACCTGAGACATCTGAGCAGTCTTTCTCTCTCTGCTTACTCATTACCAGCAGTCACATTGTGTTATACCACACCGTTTAACCTAGCAGATGGCCATTTTCCAGCCCATCACCCCTCATCTCCTCTCCCTTCTCTCTCTTCTTTCTCACCAGCATTATTATGTACTCCCCTTGTCTCACACCTCCGTTCAGTTCTCCGTTATCTGACCTACCATTCATTCATCTGTCATTTGCCTCATCTCTCAGCTCCGACTCTGCCCTCTATGTTAATGTCAATTTCACACTCCTGATGTCCCCCACGTCTGTCACTGTCTGCTCTCCCCGGGCCAAAAGTTTACCTTCACTGCTAAGCCCCAGCTCATCCCCATAGACTTTACACACTGTTGACAAAAACAAAGAAGAAAAACATGAGGAGTCTTTTCCTTTTTCATTTACTATGTTAATACAAATGAATACCCTCTATCTCAGATGGGGAGCTGTATGCTGGAACATCAGCTGACTTCATGGGCCGGGACTTTGCCATTTTTCGCACGCTTGGAAAACATCATCCAATCAGGACAGAGCAACATGACTCCCGCTGGCTTAATGGTGAGTGACAAATAGAGATACCTCTGTGATAGCTATTTTTGGGGTAATGTCTAATTAATAAACCAAAATGACTTAACTTTATTAAGTAGAAGAATACTATGGAGGATAAGAATATGCTTCCACTCTTATCGGCCTGTAACTGAATTATCTGCATCTTATTCCTCCTTTGGGCTTTTAGATGCATTGCTTTGATATAGTAGTCATTCATGCTTGTTTTACAGAGATATTGATCTCACCAAGTGCAATATCCTGAATGTCCACCTGAATGGTATAATACATAGTGGTAGTCAAAAGCACGGCAGTGTTGCATGTTAAAACAGATTGTGTTCACTGTGTAACTGATGAGATGTGAGACTGCAGAGAATACCAAAGAGTTAATCTGCTTTGTCTTGTCGGTGAATGCTATTGCAGTTCATTACACTCCTACTTAACTCAAAAGGCTCTTGTCTGTCTGCATTTGGCTGAAAAAAAAAGAAAACTACAGTACAATCAAAACACAACAAGCACACAGAAATTCATTTTCACTTTCGCTCTTTACCGCCTGACTTGTTTGAAATGTACTAACATTTACTAGTTTGAAATCAAGCGAATAGATTTATTGATTTATCCAGTGAGCAGGATTTAATAGATGTCCAATATATGTGTGTCTTCCAGAGCCCAGATTTGTCAGCGTTCATCTGATTCCAGAAGGTGACAATCCCGAAGATGACAAAATCTACTTGTTCTTCAGAGAGAATGCTATGGATGGAGAACATGCTGGAAAGGCCACATATGCCCGCATCGGACAGCTCTGCAAAGTGTGTGAACATAGCCTTACCAATACCTATGCTGTGCTTACAAAGGAAAATTTAGGCATACACATGAGACATACAAAGACGTGTACACTGACAGGATAACCTCATGTGAAATTGCTTTATTATCTAATATTTGTCAGGTATTGGCGTGGCTTTCATAATGGGGGCTTTCAGGAACTTTCACTCTTAAAAACAAGTTTTTGTTGTGACAGGACCCTGAGAGAAATGTTCAATGTCACCAGATATGGAGAGGAAAGGATGGTATTGATGGCAGTAACGTTGTCCAAGTCCCACGCTTTGGCTGTTACAGATTCGACAACACCCTTCAGTGCTGGTGGATTTTTATGTTTAATTGTTGGGCTCATGTCAGACATCAGGTCTGGGCGGCTCCGATGTCAAGTTTTAAATTTCAATTTGGCTGCAAATTGTGTCCACTTTATTACAGCCCAGCTTCCCAGAATGTCAGGAATATGTTAACCACAGCACACAACAAGCCATCCGCACTGCAGAGTATGGTGTTAACTTGGGCCTGTGCATATTTGCACACATTCTAATTTACTGGCACAAATCAGGGCAAGTGGAATGCATTTTTACGAGCCAGCACTTTGTGCATCTGTGTTTGTGCACTACCTCCTCATAAACGATTGTTACCTACTGTTACTATGATGAAGTGGGACACAATAGTGGATGTGTTTCCCACAGAATCAAGATCTAATTATGTGGGTAAAAAGCAAACTATATCTTTCTGGTTACTATAACTATTAAAAATTAATCTAAAAGATGTATCTAATTATTACAATTGATTTCACAAAAAGGCTGTTCAACATATATAAAACAGATGTATAGATAGAGACACCCTATAAGGTGTAAGAAGCTGAACATGACTTAGGGTTTACAATGCTTAAACTTTCCTTTTTAAATAAATGGAAATAAGATGAATATAGATAAATCAATGCTATAAGAAAAAAAGGAAGACAAAAAAAATGTTTTTCAAATGTTTAATGATTTTGAAACATCCACAATTGATTTCTCTGACAGAATGACCTGGGTGGCCACAGAAGCCTGGTCAATAAATGGACGACCTTCTTGAAAGCTCGACTAATTTGTTCTGTCCCTGGCAATAATGGAATAGACACACACTTTGATGAACTACGTAAGTGTCTGATCCTGCTTTTCTCATTGTATCTGATGAGTGTAAAATGCTACTTCTTGGGCAGTGCCTGACTGTTATACATTTAACCTTCTGTTGGTCTTTTAGAGGATGTTTTTCTTATAAGCACAAAAGATCCTAAGAGCCCAATCATCTATGGAGTATTTACCACATCCAGGTACCAGCGGTTAAAAATTTGAATTTTAAAGTCACTGTTTAAAGTCTTGCAATTGCTAACACTATTTGTATTTTGATCTTTCTCTTTCTTTACCTGACTCATTCTTTCTTTCCATTAGCAACATCTTTAAAGGTTCAGCTGTGTGTATGTACAGCATGACAGACATCAGAAGAGTGTTTTTGGGTCCATATGCTCACAGAGACGGACCCAACTATCAGTGGGTTCCCTTCCAGGGGCGTGTTCCCTATCCACGGCCGGGCACAGTGAGTACAGTATGCTCTCAATAGTTTTTTTGGTAAAAGCTTTACATGAGTGTTATGAACAGATCAAAGAGGTTTTTATTGTTACGATAACATTATATCTCCACAGTGCCCTAGCAAGACGTTTGGTGGATTTGACACAACCAAGGAACTTCCTGATGAAGTAGTCACTTTTGCCAGAAGTCATCCTGCCATGTTCAACAATGTATACCCAATTAACAATCGACCAATCGTGGTTAAAACAGATGTGGATTACCAGTTTACCCAGATTGTGGTTGATAAAGTCGAAGCGGAGGACGGCCAGTATGACGTTATGTTCATAGGCACAGGTATGCAGCTGCCAGCATACCATTTTATGGTAAAACTGTGCATTGTGCCTCAAATACTGACCCAGCAAATAATCACTTGTCTGTTAGGAAAAAAATTCTACAAATGGCAGCATTAATTTAAAACATGTGCTTCTATTGTGTTCCAGACATGGGAACAATTCTGAAGGTTGTGGCCATCCCCAGAGGCTCCTGGCATGACTTGGAGGAGGTCCTGTTAGAAGAAATGACTGTCTTCAGAGTAAGTTATACTCTTACCAACATTGCCTCTTTAGGGAGTTTAAAATCTGCTCTCTTTGTATCAATAAAATTGTCTCTATCATTATGCAGGAACCAGTTCCCATTACGGCAATGGAACTTTCAACAAAGCAGGTTTGGACTGAAGCACTTTGATATTCTTGCAAATCTGAACTAATACGATGGGTGTAACTCTGTAGTCAAAGCACTGACAGCAAAATGAAATAAAACTAAAATCTAAGGTAATCTTACTGGATTTTATTGCACCGAAGAATGTGCTGAATGACTTGAGAGAAGAGTGTGTATATAAATTCTCTGTGCAAAAGCTTTTCTTTTTCATATGACACACCTTGCTTAAGGGCAAATAGGCAGAACAAAGACATGTTTGTGTGCCCTGGTATAATACTTTGAGATGCTGTGTCATCATACAAAGATTCCACTTGTTGGGTTTTCAACAGTCAACTTGTCAAGTTAAATGGCAAGGGGGATAAAAGCCAAGCTAATTGACAGGTAGGAGGAGCAGAGAACCAGGACTAAAACTGCATACCTGGGCCAAACATGATTCAGTTACTTGAAAAAACATCACACACCTGCACTGAAATGTTTGGTATTTCAGTAAGACAACATAAGTTGGATATTAATCATGCTGTATTTTTTTTTCCACGTAGCAACAACTTTACCTTGGTTCAAACATTGGCGTATCGCAGATGCCTCTACACCGGTGTGAGGTTTATGGGAAGGCTTGTGCTGAGTGCTGCCTTGCGAGGGACCCTTACTGCGCATGGGACGGCACACAGTGCTCCAGATACTTTCCTATGGCTAAACGGTATAAAATACACATTACATGATAATAAATTCTGGTGACATGGTTTTTAAACATTGAAATATTTTTGGAAACTAGATATTTACATTTTGTTTTTATATTTAAGTCCTTTTGAAAAGTTTTTTACTTTTTTGATCCATTCTATAACATGTTTTTTTCTGGTTATTTGAGGATATACTGAACAGTTCTAAGGTAGTTCACTGTCTTCTGTTTTTGCATGCAAAACTAGCCCTATCCCTAACTTAATTTAATTGAACATTATTAATTTGTGTGTTAGACTGTTATTGGTCTCTCGAACAAATTTGATCAAGGTTGAGGAGAAGATTTTGGGTCTTCTTTCAGGCATCAGCACTATGAGTACACTACCCAAGAATATAAAATAGTTTTCAATTAATTTAAACTGAGACTAACCGTTTGATACTTTTGGATGAATGAAATAAGCAAAGGAGCAAAACGTAGTCTGCTTTGGTGTTTCCATGGCTGCCTCAGTTATCATTTAAAGACAAATATCCTCAGGGTGATGTATGACACTTAACATAAGACATGCAGCATCTGCGGCTCAGAACGATGACAGGCTGGTGTGATTTATTCATTTTTATTCCACTTTCAACACACCCCGTAATTAAAGTTCTTCTGTTAAGCTGTGGTCTACCTGCTGTTGATCTGTTTATGTTGGCCTCTCCTGTTGCTGCACACCCAAACCTCGTTCAAGTCCACACCTACACACTCACACTCAAACTCCCTATAGAAATATGCTCTGTCCCTTTCTACACACAAACGTCAAAAGCAAAAGTTATTATAGACTAGTAAATGTGTTTATTTGTCTGTTTCTGCAGGAGAACAAGAAGACAAGATATCAGGAATGGAGATCCACTCACTCAGTGTTCAGACCTGCAACACCAGGGTATAATAAAAAAAAATAGTTAAAAAACATTTTCTTTACAGTTAAAGATGTGTGTATGTAAGCCATGCAAACCTACTTTAGTATGATGTTGAATGGTCTCACAGCAGCATCTGGCCATTCCTGGCTTTATCAAATATGGGAAGAAGCCAGTAGAATGTGTCTGCTGTTGTATCTGTGAGGTTTATGTTTTTCTGGTGGTGTGAAAATTAGGGTCTGTTCATGTGAGGCTTTTAATTAGCATGGCCAAGATTCCTTCCAGCCTCTCCGCTGTCGCCAAGACCTCCAGAATACTGCCCTGTTAGTGGTCTTGATCCAAAATCTGGACTCCATCTGTGGTCTGATGTATTTTTCTATTTATACAATTTGTCCAGTTAGCTGCCAATTCGATAGGGATGTTGTATGTTTTAAATTTGCTTGGCCAAAAATGCCCTCAGAGACCTGACCTGTAACGCTAATTGATGAATTGGCATTTGACTGAGAAATTAACTAAGTATAGAACAACATACATCAAGATAACATCAAATAAAGTTCTCTCACTATGGTTCTGATGGTAACTTCTGGTCTTGTATTACTGTCATCTAAAACATCAAAGAAACAGACTGGGTTTAGTATCATATGTATGGGTAATACCTAACTACGCCAATATGCCAATAATCGTATACAATGCTGTGAATAATGTTAAAAATGATTAACTAATAAACTTATTCTAAGAGATGTGATTTTAACTATTTCCCAGATGAGCTAAGTGGACAATCAACCCTGGTCAATAAGACTGTCTATGGTGTGGAGAACAGCAGCACTTTCCTTGAATGCAGTCCAAAGTCCCAGAGAGCCATGACATACTGGCAATATCAAGAATCCACGGATGACCGAAAACAAGAGGTTGGCCCGTCGTGACATCTGTTCAACTTTTATCAACATTATCATTCTTAATATGTATGGACTTCTACTACAGTAGATGTATTTAGCCTTGAATCTTGCAAATGGTAATCTGCACTTTATCAGACAGAACATTATTATTGGATTACACAAGATTCCATTTAATCAATGTCAAATGAATTCTATCACAAAAAAACAACAACAGCAGAGTCAATTTGATTTTGGAGAAACATTACATTATTATAGCTTATTTTGCTTTAATATATTAGTCTTATATTCTCTCTTTGTCTTCCTGTTCTTTACCTGTTTAGATTAAATCAGAGGAACGTTTTATCTGCACAGACCAGGGCCTCCTCATTCGGACTCTTAACAAGAAAGATTCGGGCATCTATCTGTGCCAGACAGTGGAACACGGCTTTATGCAGACGGTTTTAAAGGTAAACCTGGAAGTCATTGACACAGAAAGACTGGAGGATCTTGTACATCGTGATGAAGATGGAGCAACCAGTGTCCATGCCCAGGATGTTACTTCACCAAGAGAAACTCCCAATCAAAAACTTTGGTACAGGGACTTCCTGTCTTTGGTTAATCACCCCACCTTGAATAGTGTGGATGACTTCTGTGAGCAGGTTTGGAAAAGGGAGAGAAAGCACAAGAAGCAGAAAGCTCACCTTGTGCAGCAAGCACAAGCACCCCATCAGCAGCAGAAGGTTGTGGTTCCCCCTCATAACCGTGTGCACGCACAAGGGCTGGCGTCCAAGTGGAAGCACCTGCAAGAAAGGCAGAAGGGACGCAACCGCAGAACCCACGAACTGGAGAGGGCTCCGCGCAGCGTCTGACCCACAAACCTTAATTTTTTCCCACCGAGGCTTGAGATGACACGCAGATCAGACTTTGTGAACCTGAAAAAGTGTATCCTGTTTTTCCTCCATGTGACACAGACATCTTCTGCAAAGTTTAAAAGGCAATGCTTCGATCTACCAGCGGGTGCATTCAGTGTGTGGGCAACCATGTTTACAGTACCACAGCGGAGGACTGCAGGGAAAAGGATCTTACTGTATTACACCAGACCATTGGAGCTTATTATCACCTTCTACATATGACTGACTATATTTGGCTGTAGAGTTGTTTCATGGTATGCTACTTGGGTGTCCTGATAGTTCACATATCTTAAATAGTTTTTTCTTTTTCTACAAGACACACAAGGCGAGTAGATACAACTGTGCTAAAAGCATTTTGCAAACTAAATGGGCTTGGAATGAAATTCTGTGCAAACAAAATAGGTTGTGCTCATGGAAAGGATGGTGTGGGGTTCTTTTCATTTTTGTGTCATAGAATAGTCAATGAGTCATCATGACGAACAATTATACACTTTAACAACAAGGATGATATCAGACCCCTGATTTTACGAATCTAATCATGTAATTAATTAGTGTAGATACTTTCTCTATGTCTCATCACAAGAAAGGGAATAACTTGCAGTTGTTGTGTTGGTTCTTGTTGTTTTCCCAGATCTATTTAAATGAAATTTTGCAAAACAGTTGTGAACAGAGATTTTGTACTAATGCATTTGTGTCTGTGCCCCAAGAGAAGCTTTCCATGCATAGCGATTCTACAATGTTTTACTTGAGAATTTTTATGTTTGCATCATTTAGAATATTGCATTGTCTTATGGTCCAAAATGCCACAATGAGCTATTTCATGTATACTTAATTATACTTTTGCTTTTCTTTTTCAATCACTTATGTATTTATTGATAAAAAAGTTCTATAAATTGTGAAAATATAAATGTATATATTTTGATGTGCAGGTGCTTTTTTCTTTGGACTTTCTTTGCAGGTTTTTTGCTCTGAACATTTGTAGGACCAACTGCAATCACAACAGAGGGCTGAAAGTTAATTATCAGTTATCAGTATCACATATACTGGATACACACACTCACACATATATGTAAATATATAAATGTGTGTGTGTGTGTGTGTACAGAATGTGCAATGTAATGTTTTCTTTTACTGCATGTCACAAAATATTACAATTCTTAATCAAGCCGTGCACAGGCAAATGCAAACCTGTGCAAACCATGTAAATGTAAATACTGTGATCTCCATTTGACAAATATGACTCTATATCCAGGTGCATGTGAATACTAATGTAGTGTTCTTGTTCTGCTATCGCAATGATATAGTAGTCTGATCTTGTCACCATTAAGTTGTTGTTTGCCTATGCAGTACACAACAGTAGCGATTCCTAATATGCACATGCTACGTCTGTTAGTATTCAACTGTGTATCTTGTGTAAACAGCAACTCAGTAGGATATCTTTGTGGATTCCAGTGTTCGAAAAGCTACTTGCAAACAATGCACAGTGAACAGCTGAGCTTTGCAACACATCGATGTGTCAGGAAACTGTGTAATAAGTGTTTGCCAGTATCATCTGCCTTTGGAAGCCATGAGAGGGAAAGATGAGGAGCAGCTGGAGTTGGCCTCAAGAGATTTCAGACTAATGAGACAAGTTGAACACGAGAGCTCTGGATGCACCCGTGATATGACTATCTTTCTGAGGAGAAACTGTAGAGGGACCTGTCTGACAAATGGGGGGAGTGGGGACTTTAAGTACTGCTGTTGCTGCTGTTTGGCATGATGATGACGATGATGATGACGATGGTGTTGACGTATTCTACTGATCTAATAAATGTGTTTTTCATAGGTATTTCTTCACTATACTTGTCTTTTCCAACTGGTATAGAATAGTTATTTTATCTTCTAATTCACAAATTTTATTAACATGACATTTCATTGACTAAAATCAGCTTGGATTGTTTCTGAAAAACTGAAGCCCTGTTCTGTGATGTGCCTCAGGCGGTAGAGGAATTACTCCATCACTGATATATGATAAGATGTGAATAGTTCATAATTCCACTATCTATAAGTGAAGCATGTTGTCCAAATAGACAGTGGTCTCTAAGCTGTCTTTGTTTGTAGCTTGATCAGGAAAACCACAGAAGGTAACACAGTTCACATCACAGGCAGAAGATCTTTCCTGCTTATACACTGCTGCCCTGCCCTCTGGTGGATATATCATACAAGCATTCGTTCTAAATGATGAAAAAATTATAAAAAGTTTACCTCTCATCTATTTAACAACATACAGTTATCCCATATTTGATTATAGAATTCCATCGGTCTCTGAGAGTCATTATGAAGCAGTTTTATCTGAATAGGGCCTTTGTAGAAACCTTTGGTCTAAGGTCAAAGATCAGCCAGGGTATGACTCACCAGGGCTTTGACTGTGACCCCTTTAAGGCTTTTCATGTTTTGCTCTGGGATTTCACAAGTTTATTTCTGAGTCTAAACAGTCCCAGACAGTCTCTTAAAAGAGAACGTACTTTCATCTGGGCGGAGATGGATGCTTTCAGAGACCATCAACAAAGAAATATGAGTTTGTCCTTTGAACGTATGACCGTGGAGGGATTAGAATTGGATATGTCTGTTTCTTTTGTAAATCAGTCGCTGTTGTTATAACATCCTACTACATATGAGCTGGATGAATGTTTGTAAGGCTGTACCTGTGTGGTTTCAACAGACTAAAATAAGTCTTGAATAAGACAGGCCAGGCCAAAGTTATATTCTTGTTAAGATTATAAAGTGGACATTTTGTCACATCTTAATCACAACATGCATACCTATCCTTTGGTGTAATTTTAAATCTGTGTATAAGAATAATTTAAAATCCAAACATGCAACATAAATATATATATATTGTACATTTCTAATTTAAAGCAAGAATGATCTATATGATATTGTCATTTTAAGGGCTCAGTATAGCATGTGTTTTGCACAAAAATATATTCTTGGCAGGATTTATCTGAGCCGTAACAGTGTAATGCAGCATATGACTGCCCTCCTGTGGTTGAGAGGATCTCATCTAACAATGGTTCAACTCCAACACTGCATTAAGCCTGGTGGAAAATGGTAGCTCTCTTTGACTTCTAGTCAGGACCACCCTCACACTCACTCTCAGTGGAAAAACTGAGTAACGGGGAGAATGCTGCATTCAGTTAAATGAAAAGTTCATATTTTTACAAAATTTTAATAGAATCTTTGAATTGAACTAGATCAATTGAAGTTCCGTCCAGTTTATTTAAGAAGTCACCTGAATTTCAGTGAATAGGTTAAAACACATGCAGAGACGCGGTATAAGACTCCTTTTCTCTGTCAGTTGTCTTTGATTTGATCACTGAAGATATGGTAAAGACTGTATCTTAATCTTCCTGGTGTCTTGGGAGAAGTTTTAAAAAAAGCAGAGATTCATTAATTTAACCTTAGTAAAAAGACACTTGTTGATGCTTCTTCACTTTATCCAGTTAATTTCTTCTGGGGACACGCACACACATGCTGGAACCACAGGTGCATTCCAGCTGCTCTGCGTCACCTTGACAGACATGTTGTTTTACAAAGGCAATTTATGGAAACTTTTAACGGCAGAAGACTTTGCAAGCTTTCAGTAATTGCACTCTATTTTGAAAGTGGATATGTGAAACCATATAAATGCTTCTTATCGAATCCCAATTTCTTTTTCTTTTTTTTAGCTTTTTGAACAAACTTGTACGCAATCAAAAACTGACCCCAACATCACAAAGCACATGGGAAAAATATCTACTATGTTATGGAAGCACGAAATGGTATGCTTTAGTTAAAAACCTGTGTGGTAAAAACATTAATTTCCCCCTCTGTCAAAATTGAGTTTATTGCTGGTGTTCTGAGTTTCTTCCCCTGAGAGTCACGTGACGTGGCAGCTTCAGGTTATGGACTGAAAATGACCGAAAGCATGATTATTCTTTTGTATGTATGCATAAGAGAGTTTGCATACAGGAATTCCAAAAGCTATCTTATACCGCTCGTAGTTTAGTATAGTTTAATCTTTACAAAAAATTTGATCTTTTGTTAAATCGCTCACATAGTTGTCTTTAAACAATAAAAACTAAAAAAATCAAGGCAGCTACCAATGAAGTCTATACTGAATGGCTTCAGGAATAACTTTTAATGCCTTATTTATAATTCTTAAGCTTTTCAAGCAAAATGCCCTGAAGGGAAAAATAAAAAAAAGTGTGACTGCACAGACAGTCCTACAAGTGATTCTTACATCTACAGTGACCTGCTCTCAAGAAACCTTTTCGACAGAAGGACTTTGCTGTAAACAACAAAGCCATTGTGTTTGGTTAAGGAAATAAGTGAGTTTTGGATTAGCCTCTTAAACTCACTGTTGTATTTACTTTCTACTGACAAACACTTTCAAAAGTCATTTGATAACAGCTCCACAAATGTCAAATCTAAATGTTCTGGGTTTTATAGATAAAGAAAGTTTAGTTGAATAATGAAATACATTAAGTTTATTTTCCTTTTACAAGAGCTAAACCAGATTTGAGAATCTAAAATAATTTGATTTGCTACATAAGCTATTAATACCCTTGAATTGTAGACTCTGTGAGGCTCAGAACGATGAGTCACAGCTGTTAGGTTGTTGAATATTCCAAATTTAGAAGTTCTTATCTGTAAAGCTCCAAGACGTGCTGCAAGAAATGCACAATAATGATGACTTTTTTTTTAGAGCATTAGAGGCATAACGTTGCTACCTCATCAGAATGTCCAATAGTTGACAGTTGTTTGAAAATGGTGTTTGTATTGTCTTTAATAGAAATATGTTCAAATTTGTGCAGATATCAGTAGGCTTCTGTGACGAGGTGGGGATAATATTGGACTGTTTCCACGTCAAGCATGCGTTTCAGCTTCAGCATGCAGCTGTCAACATGCAGGTGCTTGAGGTAAAACAGAGGACAGAC